TTTTTTTTTAATATGTAGCCTGCAAGTAATTATGGAAAAAAGACTGAAGACGCTACTCATCCATGCGGATTGCAAACGGATAATCTCAAGAAGAACGTGCAGTCATCGCCGATAAAGGTCTCAATAATTTATTAATATTTCTTATTTAATATCATGATATCTCTAATTATGCGGCCAACCTCTGAGGTTTCAAAATCCAAATAATCAAAAGCATGTGTCTACTATTATATTTATGTTTTTAATTTTGTATATCCTTTTAATTCTGTTCAGGATACTGTTGTTACTGCTTTCCGAACAAAATCAGAAGCTCTTCAGAAACATGCAGCAGATAAAGTACTTTGCATTTTATTTTTTCATTGTCTCATAAGTTATAATTTTTTTAGAATTATATAACAATTTGCTATGTGTTTTTCTTTACTTAGCCTATTGGAGTAAGTGGGGATCACGCTGTTAGCATCCCGACAGATGATGATGATCTATTTGCAACAATCAACACTCAATTTCTAGCTGAGGTTGACAGATCTGCAGAGGAAAAAATAAAAAGTGCCTTAAGAGAAAAGAATCTGGTAACACACAAACTTAATTTCATATATTTCATTTGTAAATTATGATAGTTTACTATATTACATGTAATTATCATGTATATATTTTGTATATTTTCATACCACATCGAATGACTGTCCATTTCAATGTTTTCAGGCAAGTGCATCAACTTCAAGAGGCCCGAAAAGAGAACCACATCCAAAATGGGGTTTTTCACTCGATGGATCTCAACCGTCGTTCAGTGCGATCACACACGACCTACCACCTACACCACCAGAATATGTCGCCCGTCCCCCACCGCAAAAATCTGTAAAACATTTTTTAAGAAATACATAGTTATATACTTTTACTTCATATATATGTCTGCACATTTATATAATGCAATACACTTTTTTTGTTATTTTTCCATACATATTGTTTCAGTCTGAAGTTGGTACAGAGCAAAGAACAAGAGAAGATGAGGGTGAAAAGCGTAGGAAATATGTTGAACCAGCCAGCAACGCAC